ATTTAAATTATGTTTAATAGGCATCCACAGACAAATGATGCCTTGCATAAAAATGGATTTATTCAGAAGTAGAATAACATTCTTTAAGATGTTGCTTATTCAAAGTGATAGTTAGAAATAGTGATGTTATCTCTTCTCAGATCCTCTCTTAGTAGTTAGAATCTTAGGCATTGGAATGGATAGGTATAATATTCTTCTATTATTTACTCAAAGGATCATTTATTTGTACAGAATTAAAACTTCCACAGAAACACCAGTTGTGTGTGGAATGATGGGCTCTTGCCTATGAAAACAGATTTGATTTTTTTAAAAAAAGATCTATATGACATCACCCGAGTCTTCACTGTTCATTCTGATCATGGAATGAATTGATGTGGTTGGCTGTGGGCATTAAATGATTCATCTGTTTCTGTTACATAAACCACTCAAGTCAAAATACAAGAATTTCTCAAGTCTATGGGCTCAGGCAGACAAGGTGGTGGTTTTTGTTGCTGGTTTGTTTGTTTGTTTGTTTGTTTGTTTGTTTGTTTGCAAATGAGCATTTTAAGGGAACAGATGCTTCCCACATGGGATGTGATGATGATGTTAGAAATAAAGAGAACATGTTTTTGGAGGCTGGGATGTGACAATTAGGGTGTTAATATAGGAATAATCTTTAAAGCTTATTTTAAAAATAAAAATTCTCATATCTGAGAAGCAATTCTTAAAGGAGAGGAATGGAATGGAATAGCCAAGTGTGATTGGACACACAAGGAATTTGTCTTTGGTTCATATGCTCTCAGTGTACATAAAAGAAAAGTTACATTCATCACAAATCATAAGGTACAAGTGTTAATGATTGTCATAGGGTACAAATAAGGAATCAAATCATACTAGGAAACAATCAATATAAATCGTAAGGATACCTGCAACAAAGGTACAGTCATACAGTCATAAGTGGGAGGAGATTGGTGATAGGAGCAATGAAAGGATTAATAGTAATAGTAATGCAGACTTAGTAAATAGTTTGACAGTATTGAGGGAATTATTTGTTCTTATGTCTAGTTCTGGTGTGCAGTGCTCTATAGTGTCATTCTGAGAGTAGGAATTGAAACAATTTAAAGGAAAGTTGTATTGATGCAGGTGTGGGAAATCCAGATATGACTTTTTTTTTTAATTTTAGAAGGAGCCAGAAGGTCCTAGAAGCAATTCCGCCACCACTCATCCCCGAAGGCCAACTCTCAACAGCTTCATCTTTGTCGTCAATAAGGTACCTTTAGGTCTCCTACCACACCTCCCCTTTCTTCCCAGCACAGTGTAGAGGTGTAAAGAATAACTTCGTGGGGAAAGTAATTACTATTACAAGTGATTAAACATAACTGAAAAGCAAGATTTCATGATCCAGGAACGTGTAGTACAACGTCAAATTGTAGTATCAAACATCTTTTATTTCACACTAAAATTACAAAGAATTGTTCTAAAGTATGTGATAAGTTTTGTACCACAGACGACACTCATTGTCATTTCATTATTTTGGATTTCTTCCCAAAATCCCTATTATGGTGCTAGATAACAGTTATTGCATAGCCCTTTAAACTGTACCTTTATTACAATTTAGAGGTGCTCTACAGAAACTATTAACTCTTCCTTTATTAAGGATAGACAAATCTATTTACTTTGATTGCACACATTGTCCTTAAATGCTTCCTTTTATGTAACAAATATCCTGAAGAAAAAAAAAACAGTATCACCAAGCAAGAATATCAGATAATGTGCTAGCTTAGACTGTTTCCTGTATGGTGTTTTTCTATGTACAAAGATGGACAAAATATGTCCCTCTAGATGTTGTTGGGTTCCAGTTCTCATCAGATAGCAAGCCAGTGATGATGGATTGCGGGAACTGAAGCTATCCCATTCCAGGATTACAAGTCTATTATTATTTTAACACAAGGGGCATGGCTACTTTCCTTCCTTTTCCACTGCCTTTTCAACAAATGTTCCTTTGTAACCTGTCCTTATTTACATATGTCATAGTAACGTCAAAGAAGTTTTGAACAGCACAAGTATGAAAGGGCCTTCTGAACCTGATCCACCACCACCACCACCACCACTGGAAGCAGATGATTTTCTTCTCCCCTCTCAAACAGATTTTTTGCCACCTCCTCCTCCTGTTCAAGCGGAAGATGTTCTTCCTCTGCCTTACCCTGAGACAGGTAAAAAGCTTGTTAAAGCACTAGGAAAATAAATGCCTCAAGCCCTTAATGAGTTGGCATATATGACCCATTAATAAATGTCAGGTAGGAAACATGGGAACAGTATCCAGTGATCTTGGGAATGGAATGGCTTAGTATATAATGCCTGAGTTCATAAATTACACCATGCTAGAAGTGATTTGTTTGATTGACTTATGTGACCCAATCAATTAGGTCTTAGTTAGCAAACCATTACTTAGTATTAGGGCTCAATTACAGAACACCAAGCAGATGAGACGGTTGACTCGCTTATTTGTGAAGCAGGCACCATATTTGTTTGCAGATCTTGATTTTCCAACTTTTCCTCTACCACCATCCCTGGACAATTCCAACTATGGTCACCTGAAGCCTCCTCTTCTGCCACCTCCGCCTCCCCCAGAGAAATTGTCGTGGGCTCCAGACACCTATCTGGAGAAAGGTACCTTAGTAAATGTATGAGAATTGCTGAAAACTGTCTCAACTCTGCATGATTTCTGTCTCCTACCCTAGATGTTGAAATGCCAAGGCACCAAAAACATTAGGAGGCATTCTTGTTGTCTTGTACTGTACCTAGCCAGTAATAGTTCATAATGATTCATTATATACAGGACTAAGTCAAATCCACACATTAAAAAAGAACTTCTCGGCTCAGCTAAGAATGAAGTGATACTTTTCCCAAAACTCTTTATTAGCTATAGTAAATCTTGGGGAAGAGATAGGTAGGATTGTCTTCCATCTTAATTAGCATAAACAATCATTTCCATCCAGTCTTTTTCAATAGCAGCCAATCCATGAACTTCTATCCCTTTTGCCTCCGTGAATTTGCCTACAGCAATGAGTAGCAAAAGGTGTAAACTTGATTGATTGTATTCCCTCTCATTGTGCATACTATCTCTTTAACATCCCTAGATTATCTAAGGATGTAACTAGTTGACCTTTTATTTGTTCCATTGATTCTGACTCTATTTCTCCTACTCTTGTTTTCAGTTGTGACTCTTTACCCTTATGTTCAGAAGAAGGAGGATGAACTCTCATTTACAGAAGGGGCCATTATTTATGTGACAAGGAAATACTCAAATGGCTGGTGTGAGGGTGTGACAAGTGATGCAGAGGGATTTTTCCCAGAGAACTACACTGAACCTTTGCAATGAATGAGGCAGAATGAAAGAGGAAAAATGACAGGTTCCTAACACAAATGGTATGGAGAACGTGGAGTAGTCCCACAGTGAGATAGGCTGCGAATAAATTTAACAAATAAATTTACAAATGTTCTAGTTTAAGTTGCCAGGAAATCAGTATTTCTCTGACTTACTTAAACTAGGCTAAAATCAAGCTAGTAAAATGAAGGTGTCAAGAGGACTTTGGAAATTTCCCTAAATCCATTGCAACATAAACACAGGATTTATGGCTCCTCTTCCTCTGTAGTGCTTCGCAAAGCCTAAAATCTTGCCCAGCAGTTAATAAAGAGCCCATCAGGGCTAATTTCTATCCTTACAAAAACAGTGATTGCTTAGAATTCTGAGGTTGGGTCTGCCCATGTTTGATAAATGTGATGAATAAATAAATGAACCCAGCAACCAACTTTCTACTATTGTATAAAAAAATAAACACGCTGTAAAATATAGTAAAAGGTTTTGTGTGGTTTTTTCAATATGCCAGCAGGTGGTGCTATTCTGTAGTTTAACTCCCTAGCAGCTACTGCCCCTCTCTGTCCACTCCTGAAATCTTATTTGCATCCCAAAATTATACCACTTATTTCAGCAGCAAACAATTGAGCAGAGACAGCATGATTACCTGCAGCTTTTTTGGGTGGGAGGGGCAGTCAGAAAAGAAATAAAAGATGAAATTCTCTGGGTTAAGTGTAACTCCTTATAGCTTTGTGGATATAGTTATGGAGATTTCTTGCAATTGCTGCCTTCCGTTTCTTTTGACTTCCCAATAGTCTAGACCTGGTGATTTCCCACTAAAGGACTAAGCAGGTTCAACCTAAGCAATGTAATTTGCTTTTAAAATAGACAAAAAGTTATTGAGCTTCAAATAGTTCACCAATGTTGCCAAACATTCCAAGTCACCACCATCAGGATATTATCATCCTGCCTTTAGCTGAGTTTTTGCTTTCTTGTTTTTTAAAAAAATGTTGTTTATATACTGGGAAATGTGTAGAATATTAGGAGGGTGAGGTGAATGTGACTATAAAGCACTTCCTAATTTGTGACTGAGGAAGAACAAAAGGAAGCATAGAAACCTGTTTTTCTAATTGGAATTAATATAATTGGTTTCCCCAAGGGTGGTGCTTTGTTGTGTAGATTCATTTGTCTCCTGTTCAAAAATTACAAATGTTTGTCACAATAAACTCTGGAAAGTTCAAACAGAGCTGTACCTGATGGCCAACAGAGACAGTTTTTTTCTCTCCCCATCTGAGCGGTCGCACTTTAATTACGCTCCACATGCCTCCTGGTTTGCCAAGATAGGTGGTTATGTGTGTCCTCAAATCTCCAACTTAGACCCACCTTTTAATTCCTTTCATTTTGCCATAAGAGGAAATCACAACAAAGAGAAAAGAACTGAGGGATAACTGAGAGGAACAAACCACCTGACATTCTCAGATCAAAGGAGAGAATAAAGCTAATTTATGAGGTAGGACTTCAGGTGAAAAAGAAAGCCTTCCCCATCATGGGGATTTCACACATTCAAGACTCTAGAAACACAGGAATCATGAAATAGATATTTGAATATACTTTATAAGCAATTTGTGTCAGCTGAGTATACAAAAGATAACTTAACATTTAATATTTGCAAGGTATTTTTTGTATGATGTTTTTTTGTGTGTGTGTGTGCTTATAAAAGAGTTGCCATGGCTTTAAATTCCAAAAATAACAAGCAGAAAGGAATACAACATAAAAGAATATGGGATATTTGCAGAGAATACAGACCAAGAGAGGATTACAAATAAACATTTTAAAAGAAGATATGGGCAAACAGTCTGCTGGTTTGGTTATGAATCCAAGATGGCAAGCACATTTCAAGCCAAGGGGAAGTCTTGGAGTTTTGGGGTACAAAACCTTGGGAGAGAAAAGTCAAATGCTCAATTTTAATAAATGGAAATTATTCTGGCAGCAATATAGTAACATAATTCAGTGGAAACCTGTTCCAGTGTTGCACAAAAAAAAGAGGCATAATCTTGTGTCAACTCTTGAAATTTAGTGCATAACTGTTGTGTGTCTGTTGTGGCAGTGTGTTATGACTGTAGTTTGTCTGGATGAGCATGTTCCACTGACTTCTCTTTCTAAACTAGATCCCATACCTCCGTAATATCACTAATCACATATTGATTGTATTCCTTTTCCTGAGCAAAACATGAAATACAAAGTTTAGCATAGTTAACATATTCATTCTTATAAAGCTCCCTGAATCATTTTTAGGAAGCCATGATGCAGCACCATCATTCAACCTGGACATCTTGTTAGCAAGCTGGGAAGTATTTTCTCCAGAAGACCATTTCTCTTTATCCCTCTGCCTCCAATTTATCTGGGAGTATATGCAGTATTATTTGAATAGAACAGAGGGGGAAAAAAGTCCAAAGTTAGATCTGAAATTACAGGGTAATTATGGATGAATGGGAAATACATACAGAAATAGCAGATTTTTTCCATGTAGTTTCTTGTAGTCTCCTGCTTTCTACATTTCTAAAGTCAGGAGTCAGGAATTGTGGTTATTCAGTTACTGCTGAATTATAACTGCAAACAACCCCAAGTAACATGCCTATTATAAGAAGGTGTAGCATAGCAACATCTGAAGGGCTAAGCTGTACATCGATTATCATCAGCAATAGTTGTTTTTAACACGTTCCCTACACCAGGGGTCTCCAAACTTGGCAACTTGTGGACTTCAACTCCCAGAATTCCTCAGCCGGACCCTCTCTCTAAACATCTAAAATACTTTGTTTTCTTGTTTCTATACATCAAATAGCCAGTACCACATGCCTCGTTTAGATAGCAATTTCTTTTGGAGCAGCTGAAATGCTTCCTTGAGGCTCTTCTAGATCAGACTTCCCCAACCTTTTCAGCTCTGCTGAGTGGCAGTGGGGGGGACTTGCCCTCTACTTCCACAGCCTGGTTCCAAAAGGCTCAAGGCCTAGTAGTGGGCCGCAGCCGAGGGTCAGGAACCTCTGTGTTCTAGGTGACTGATCAACATGCTACTATGGCAAGAGTCTTCTCTTGTTTTCTCTTAAAATTTGCTTGGCTAAAAGTCGCCCTGCCAATCTGGCACCTTATAAAGGAACTGCAATGTCCAGCCCATGTTTAGCTCTTGAAAACCCTGGTTATTAGCTATGTTGACTGAGAATTATGGAAGCCAAACATTTGGAGAGCAGCAGGTTAAGGATGTATACCCTACGGTATTGATCTCAGCAATAAAATGAGCCCTTAAAGAAATCAGTATTTTGGACTCGATGATTATGTCCTGCCCAGCAACAATGATACACTGAAATTACCTTGTAGCACTTCCCCCCCCCTTTTTTGGGGCATAATTTCTGCAGATATAGATAACAGTTTATTTTACATTACACAATACTTGCTTTGTTTTGATGTGCGAATCCAGCCACTATGGTCTGTGAACCGTGGTTTATGGCTTAATAGTATATGAACTCAGCCAAACCTGGTAAATCATAGATTAAATAAAACCTGGTAAATCATAGATTAAATAAAACCTGATCTAGCAGACACATAATCCTGCTCCATTTAGATCTACAGCAGATGATTTTATTGTCATCTTCAATGAGGCAGGACCCATGACTGCTTTCATATGCTTTGGTAGCAGAGAGAAGCCTTTTCTGTAACCCCAAAATGGATAAGCAATTTTTAAGGAATGCAGCAGCAGCATTTTCTTCATAGGCAAGCAAAGGATATGAGGCGACAGGTACCCACCCACCCTTCCTGGAATGGACTGCCAAACTGCATAGAGAGCCCTTATCTGGAGATTAAAAGAAGGGGAGGTCCAGAGACAGACCTGTGCACAATGAGAGAAAGGGTGGGAGAGGGGGAAACAGAGCAGAAGCCAAGCATGAGGCAGTGCAAGATTAATTGCTGAGATCTTTCCATGCTGTATGGCAGGTAAATCAAGGAGAATTGCTGCTTCTGCAAGGCTTTCCCTCAGGATGTTTCATTGAGAACTTCTTGAAGGTGGGAACGAACCTCTATGGCAGAGTCCCAAGGGACTACAGTAGCCCGGTAAGCCCCGGGTTGGTTTTTCTCCACTTCCTGGATGAGCTGATGCATGGGATAGCCCTTCCTTGGGAAGGCAATATCACTTGACTTCATTGCCATGGAAGGGCAGAAGTCATTGGCTCCATCTCCCACATAGAAGATTCTCTCAAATTTGCTTCCCTCCTGAGCTCTTTCTTCCAGGTATTCAGTCAGGATCTTCTGTTTGCACATATTTGAAGGGCACCGTGGGCAATTGTGTGAATGGTAAGGACCCAAGATGAAGTAGCCTGTCTTGTCAAAGCTAGAAGGGTTACTGAATATTTTACGGAAGAGGGAGTAAACCCCTGCGGCCTTCAAGGAACATTCAATGCCGAACATGTTGGCATCGGAGATGAGGATAATCTCAAAGTGGTTCTGGCGCTTAGAGAGGAATTGGAAGAGCTCCTGCATGCCAGGAGAGAAGGGAATCTTTTCATAGACTGCTTTGAAGTCGGCCATCTTTACCCCTTGATCCCCCAGATATTTCAAAACCCGCTGCATGTACTCATTGTAGAAGCCTTCCTGGAAAGTTTGGCGTATGGACTCTGGCAGCTTTTTCTCAGGAGCAGCCTGGACGACAGAATCATCACTATTCTCATTTACAATGGTCTCATCAAAGTCAAAGACCAGGAGGTGCTTTTGGCTTTGTGTGGCCGCCATTGGCCCATCCTGCAACAAAAGGAGGTTTGGTTAATGGAAAGCCAACTACAGTGTTCACCTTGCTTTGCCCTTCTGACAATGCAGCCTATGCCCAACCCGATTGCCTTCCTTATCTTGACAACTTGACAACTCCCAGAATTTACCCAGTCAACACAGCCATTCCCAGAGAATTCTGGGAATAAACATCCACATATCTCCCTGTGATGACTGTTATAATGCCACTTCCAGCAAACCTAAGAACTGAGTGCTTTCCCCTTAATGGCAAAACAGTATTCAAAAATAATTCTTCATATCTTTGGCTCCAACTTTGGTGTACCCCCCCCCCCTTCCTACCTGAACGTGCCACAAACAGCAGGCAAAGGATGAGATGTTGAGTACTTAGGCAGATGCATCCATAGCAGAAGATCCTTTTCATGCACAAATAGATGATACCTCTATTTGGCCCTAACCAAAGCAAAGAATGTATGACTATGCTTAA